TGTTTGTTTTTTTTTTTGTTTCTGTTTTATGGTTGATTTTAAAATTTCTTTTACTTAAAGATTCACTGACTGAACTACATCCCCAGTAAGGAATAGCAAAAGCTACAGGACAAAAATTCCAGCTTACGGACAAAGGCAAACCCAACAGAATAACATATCTCCAGCAGAAAAACGCAATAACCCTGGAAGGCATGAAATGGTATATTTCAGCAACTGAGGTAAATAAACTGCCAAGCCAAGCACAAGCTATCATGACCACTGGGCCAACACTGAAGGTACTTGGATTAGTTACTTTTCTATTTCTGTAATAAAATACCTGACAAGTATAGTTTGAGGTCCATCATGGCTGGGATGTCATGGTGGCAGGAACACCAGGAAACTGAACACACAGCATGGTGGTCACAGTCACGAAGCAGAGGGAGGTGAAACGATAGTGCTCAGCTCCCCATCACCTTTGTAATTCAGTCCAGGACCCCTCCCAGGGAATGCTACCACCCAGTTAAGGTGGGTCCTCACACCCTAAATAACCTAAGGTGGATAATTCCTCACAGACATGACAAGAGGCCTGTTTCCTAGTTGATTTTAAAGCCTATTAAGCTGGCAATTTCAGTTCAACCCCTTGTCAACTTGATACACAAACACTACACTTTGTTTGAGATAGGGTCTCCCTGTATAGCCCCAGCTGTCCTCGAACTGTAGACCAAGCTGGCCCCAATCTCACAGGGACTCACCTGTCTCTGCCTCCAGAGTGCTGGGTTTAAAGTAAAGGTAGCACAACGCCCAGCTTAACACAACAATCTTAAAAATATTTTTATTTTATGTTATGTTTTGTCTCCGTATAGGTTAAAACACTCTTAAGCCATAACTTAAGCCATTGTTCTCATTTTTCAGGGATGCAAAATGGGTTCAGACTAGCTTCCAAAGTCCCAGTAGTCTTTAACAATTCCAACACTGTTCATGGCTCACACCTTTAATCCCAGCACTTGGGAGGCAGAGGCAGAAGTGAGTTCCAGGCCAGCTGGGGTTAGAGAGACCCTGTCTCAAAAGGACAAAAAAGAAAAGTCCAATTGAGTCCAATGTCAGGTTGAGACTCAAGGCACTCTTTTTAAAAAATTTTTTAATAACTACATGATTAGAAGAAGCATTTCACTACAGCTTTAACATATTCAATAACACACTCCAGAGCAAGAGTACATCTCTTTCACAAGTGACTGTAAGTTTCTAGGTTCACAGTTGAATTAATACAGTTAATATAATATTGAAGTCAGTATAAGCCCTGTAAGGCATAAAATTGAATGAGTTTTTAACCTTTAAAAAAATCTCCATTTCATTTTAGAATATATTGTTTCTTGCAGAAAGACTCATTGTTTTAGCTACTAGTGCTGAGATGTTGGCACATGCATCTCTAATCTGTATGCATGTGATTATTACTAGTCATAATCAGTTGCACTTGGATCCTTGGCGCCTCTGTATGTCTATGAAGTCATCGGGTAGATTTCAATGGTGATGTTTATCACCTCTGCTAATTAACATGATGTA